TAAATCCACCACGGGCCTGATTTGGCCCCCGGGCCTTGAGTTTGACACATGTGCTCTAGATGATAGGAAAGGAGGTTTGAAACTTCCTTTATAACCTCCTTTAGCTTAGGAAACAGAGAAAATGCTTCCCCACAATGCCTTGCGGACGCAGCATTTACTATCATACAACATTCGGCCGTTCACGGAAACAACCGATTATGACCGAGAAATTATATCATGAAAGTTACGGTGCTTATTAAGCATTTTAAAACATATGTGGTAAGTTGCCAAAGTGCTTTGTTTTGAGCGTTCATCAGTATTATAATCAAAAAGAGAAATATGAACGTTACTTTTTTACTGAAATTATCAAATAAAGTCAACATTTCATAGTATTTACTCAGCTCAGTCAGCTGTGTGGGGTTTGTTAAACTTTTAAAAGATGTTTGAATGGTGATATAGCCTACACAGTGATAGATGTTAAGGACTAACACGTTGATAATAAATACATTTGTATTTATGTTAAGTTCTTTTCATACAATCATACGTATTGGGATTCATGTGGATTAATACGTGTCGTGTGAACCGGAGGGTTTCCTTTTTTATTTAAATTCCAACCTTGTTCATGAAGAATATGTTTCTCTGTTGTCCACGTTCATAAAGCAAAAAACAACCCCATCAGAGCACGGTGCAGAGTATCTAGATGCGTTTACAGTAATCCGCCGTTCTTATTATACATCCATGTTGTAGTCCGCTGCATAGAAAACTGTAGTTTCCCCACAGCAGACGCACATTTATGACGTCCGCTCGCACATCATAAATACGTCGGATAGTGAAAGTGCAGTCGGATTCTCAAAGCATCGCAGTCTCTTCTCCTAAATCTTTTTTAATTCTCCTATCCACTATCCCTTAATCCCTTGACGTTTCACACAGAGGTCAAGGAATAGATGATAGGAATAGACGATAGGGGCTGATTTTTGGACTATTCAACTGCAGCCCAGCTCTTCAATTTGCATGCTTTCGCCATCTTGTAACATGGCTGTTAGGACTTTCCACAGCCCCGGAGGCCCCTACAGATTTGAACTAGCAGCATGTATTCACAGGCCCCTGGAGCATAGCCAGAGCAGCAGCTTGTACAAAGAACTCAGTCTCCCATTACTCGATCTCTATCTTACAAATGTCTCGCCTCAATATCTGACCTAAATCTAAACTCCGACACACCAAACCTGGTTTTGTACATTATCATAGATTACAGGCACTTCCTAGAAGATGCTCTCATCTATAGAGAAATTAAAGATACATTTTTCTTATAAGGGAAAATTGCACCTGTTCTGACAAAGTAGATACGGGCCAATTTGCGTTATTATCTTTTGCTGTCCAATCTCCATACTCTTACAATTGTGACCTGTAAAGTCATATAATTATGTCCAGCCAACACCCAGTTATTTCAATTGCATATTGGCTTGCAACATACTTCATAGGTCAGAGTTTCGGTGTTATGATTCACCAACACTCAACAGGCTGTTGTTATACAGTATCAGCAGAGTTCCGGCTATAGCTTGGTTTCAGTCACGTGACTTCTATGACGCGCGAAATTCAAGTGGAGGTCAGGAAGTGAAAACGCAATCATTCATCAACGCAGGAATCATGGAGGACACCGACTATGTCAAACAATTAAATGAACCTGCACGCCGCAGATATCGTGAAAAAAATCACAGCACACATCGGATACGATCCGTATCAGCTGAAAAAAAACGACTTTTCTCGTGATTTATCCGATTTGCCCGCTGTCCAGGCGATGGATATCACCAGCTACCTCGTCCTTCATACCTCCTACTACACGGCTAGCCAGATGAAAGCGTATAAAGCCTGGAAGCTTTCAACTACTTCGTGTGTGGATGGGTGAATGACCTCGGCACCAAAGAGGCATTAAACAAATGTCGCCTTGTTTTTGCCCGGGTGGGTGTTAACTACCTATACCTTCTTACCTCTAAGTAGCATTATTAGGAGACATCTAGCTAGCTAACTTTAGCTACATGGACTCATGTAAGGCAGTGTTACGGCTGTCGCCTTGCCTTCAGCATTAACTGGCCTGTGAGTGTGTTGTGTGTTTATATATGTGTATGTTTGTTATGTGTTTAGCTTAGGATATATTGTGTTTTGTGTGTATAGACAGCTCAGAGCCTTTGAACAGCCTGCACGTTGTTTATATCACTCTATGTTGAGGTTAATATTAAAAACAACCTCTTTACCAAGACCATCTGGTTATGTGTTGCTTGTGATGTTGTTAAATGTATGTTACCAACTCGTAAGTTGTGAACTGGAGCTTCAATTGTGTAGGTCAACCATTCCCAGAGGTCTGGAGAAACACCATTAAAAACGTGGATTGTAGCTAAAGAAGATGGAGAGGTTGTTACAGCACACTGTAACTGTATGGCTGGGTAAGTCATAAAATAAATATCCCAACCCAAAGCATATTTGACACAACACTTAAGCTCAGACAAAATAATGCCTGCTATAATATTCATGTTATACCATTACTAGCTTTTACGATCAATCTAGTTATTCTAGTATGTCTCTGTCTATACAGTTTGTCAGAATCCTGCTCACATGTTGGAGCAGTTCTGTTTGCAATCGAAGCAGGTGTGAAGATGAGAGAGACTGCATCCTGCACCACTGAGAAGTGCAAGTGGCTAATGCCATCACATGTCAAAAAGGTATTCAGACCCCAGTGGTCAGTCAGCTGTTCATGCCGTCCTTGCCTGTCTCATTGTTACACTGCACCTACATGTATGTTCACATACATGTTGGTCTGTCTCTCACATGTGCAGATTCCTGCTGCTCCAGTTGCGATGATAGACTTTTCATCCGCAAAATCCAAAAAGCAAAAACTGGATGATGCCATTGCTGGAAGGACAGGTGAGAAGCACACATTTCAGCGTCCCACAGTCCAGGGTTCAAAATTGGAGCGAGGATCAGAGAGGTATATGCAGTTTTTCAAGACTTTGAGCAGAAATTCCCCAAGAAGTGCTGCACTGATGTCCAGGGAACCATATTACAGAGAATTTGTCCCTAAATCTGTGAGCAAGCTACCTAAACCACTACCTCAGTATAGGACACCAGAGATGCTACAGCTATCCCCAACAGAGTAGCAGAATGCATGCCAGGACTTCAGACAGGAAGAGCTGACACAGCCACAGGTCCAGGCAGTAGAGGAGGAGACCAGAAACCAGAGCTTATCAGCAATATGGTTTAGCCAAAGAGCAGGAAGGATCACAGCCTCAAGACTGAAGCAGGTTCTACAGACTAGTCTTGCACAGCCATCAAAGTCCTTGATCAAGTCCATATGCTACCCAGAGGCATACAAGTTCTCTACAGCTGCAACAAGGTATTTATTAGGGATTAGGGAGCCAATCAGAAAAGCAAACTGTATACAGTTTTTCTCAGACGCGGAGGGATACCGACTTGTTGTGAAAAGTAACTTACAATTCTACCCGTGGTATACGCTGATTAGATCACGTATATCAGTAAGTTACAGTACAAGTAACTTATAACTAAAGTCATTATCATTACAAAACATGATTCACAAAATATTCAATGCATAAAAATACAGAATAAATGTGTGTGTGTGTGTGTGTGTGACGGGTATGGATGCAAATACGAGGCAACTGCCCGAAAGCAGTATGAAGGAGTACAAAGTCTGCACCACCAGGGTTTCAGCTGTAAAGACAGCGGGCTTTGGCTGAACCCTCAATGGCCATACATGGGAGCGTCGCCAGACGGAGGTGTCATGTGCACCTGCCATGGAACTGGTATCTGTGAGATAAAGGTAAGTTATTTGTTCAGTATTGTGCTACAGTAAAGCGGGTAAGTATAGGATTGTGACGTGATCCTGAGTCTGGGGATCCTCTCCCAATACATTTTGAGCTGCAGACACTTATTTACAGTACAATATATTACTTTTCTTTTCATTGAACTTTTAGTGCCCACACAGCAAACAAGAGGAGGCCAATCTTCGCCTGTGTGCTGGAGAACAGGGCTTCTGTCTCGTCAACGATGGGGGCACTGTGAAGCTGGACAGGAGACATGCCTACTACCATCAAATACAGGCTCAGCTCCACCTCGTTGATGTTGACTACTGCGACTTTGTTGTCTGGACTAAAAATGACCTCTTTGTAGAGAGAATTGTGCGTGATGTGGACCTGTGGGACAACATCATTCCCAGAGTTGAGCGTTTCTTCAGACTATGTGTTCTCCCTGAAGTGTTGGGACAGCAACTTACAAGGGGAAAGGTAAAAGTCATAAAGAGTTGGCGTGCTCATTTTTTTCCACAAGAACATGTTAGTGCATAACTATCAAGCCTCCTCTCCCTGTCTGCTGTTCCATTTTTCAGTTTCAGTTGCAAGATGATCAGGAGGGAGAGAAGGCGTGATTACCAGCACCTGTGGTCTGTCCTGGTCCCGGAAGTTGTGGTTCTCTCCTTGTTGCATTATTATTACGTGCCGTAGTGGGTGCTGGTGTTTGGGTGTGTGTGGGTGTCTTTTTCTCTCTCCCTCTGATCTCCCCAGGTGCTCCCAATCTTCAATCAGCGCCTCCATATAGGACATGAGGAAGGTTGCAGTCGCTCTCCCCTTATCTTAAGCTTTGTTTGACAAGTTGGCTGGTGAGCCCTTTTTCGTTGTGTTAATTAAAAGACCACTTTATGGCGTCAGAGATCAGTTTCCTCTCCTTTTTCTCTCGGCCGGTTATGTTGTGTGTCGCTACTTCCCTTTGTACCCCTATATTTACAAGGGAACGTAACATTTGCACAGTGGCAGCTCTTTAACCTGCATTACAGCACCTTCATATTCACTGACCACACTCACTAGAGGAAGTAGGGCTGTGTGATATATTGCTATTGTAAAAAAGATGTTTACTGAAAAGATTAAATGATACTAAGACTGAATAATACATGGTTTCTTATTTACATTTACAATAACCCTCAATGGCCATACATGGGAGCGTCACCAGACCAATTGTCATCTCTAGATGACATCTCTATTGTTGAATGAATTAAGCCTGAATGTAGATGAAAGTTGTATATTGAGTAGGGCTACACAATTTTCAATACAAAAAGATGTTTACTGAAAAGACTTGAACACAAGATGTTTGAACACAAAAAGATGTTTACTGAAAAGATTAAATGATACTGAATAATACATGGTTTCTTATTTACAAGACTACAGCTCCATGACTTTACTCCAATGGGACGACAGACACTGACAGATTAGACAAGGCACAGCAAATAACCCCAATCTTGTCAATTAATGCTAGTGCCTCACCTGGTTTTGTTAGCATGTGCTCTATGGGCACAGCCCTGCTTTGCAGAATCTGATATTTTCTTCTGACTAATCCTATGACTCTTTCAACATGAATACGCACATTAGCTATTTTTCTTGTCTCTTCCACCTCATATGCTGACAGCTGACTTTTCCCCCTGGTGAATGCAGGCATCTTTAGTGAAGCACAGTAAAATCCCACACTATCGGCAATATCGAACCCACGGTCTGCTAGGACAATATCTCCAGGTAACAGGTTTTTTAGGAGCCCACTCTGTATTGTGATCTGTTTATCACTAACTCTTCCTCCCCAGGCACAAGATATGTAGGTAACATAGCCTTGGGGAGCAACACCAATCAGAAATGTAACAGTATGGTGATGCTTGTAGTTGGACCATGTTTGTGCTCTAGCTAGTAAATTAGAGGGCCTCTCAATAAAAACTTCAAAACAGTCAACAATCACAGCAACTCTACATCCAAATGCCTGTCTGAATCCCATTGGCATTGTAGCTTGAAGTACATGTCGCTCTGGCCACTCAATTATAAATTCTGTACTCTCGTGAAGTATGTCAATTAACTTATGCCAAATTCTAGAAGCAGTGGAGAGAGAGATGTTGAACCTGAAAGCCAAATCTTTCAGAGGGAGATTTAGTCTCAGCCTCAGCAAAACTAAAATGAACTGTTCAAATTTGGAGAGCACAGACATAGGGCCACAGGTGCTGTAGGGCTCGCACAGTTGAAAAACCTGAAGTAAAACTAAGAAGTTGGGGAGCCCGGTGTAAAACTTTGTTTTCTCTTCGTTGTTCTCAAAGGACTCCTGGTTGAACTTTGTGTCCAGTGCCTTTGTCCGAAGATCTCCCAGCTCTGTTGTGTTCTGTCTCAGAACATCCTCCATCCTCTCGATGTCCTCCATCATTAAATCAGTCTGGCATCCTGCATCTGCATACAATATAGCAGTAGCAAGCATAATTAGTTATTTAAAATAGTCAAATATGAATGTGAATTTTTGTGGTTATCTTTTTGACAACCTTTTTACAGACATGCAAGTTCTCTGTTCCAATTATTGCAGATTCTCAAATTAGTGCTCTATTTTCTAAACCTAATTCAAAGTTTGCATTGATTTTCTGACAATCACATTTGTAATATTTAATAATAATGCTGGTGGTTAATTTACCTTGTTGGTCATTTAATATCCCACTGGTGTCCTCTGGTTGTGGGCTGTCAGACGGGGGCTGCGTCGGTTCTGGGCTCTCGGTTGTCTGCAGGAGATCCAACAAAGCCTCTGCACATTCTGATTGTCTTTGTTGGTCTTCCTTGAGCTCCATCCTCTGCTCTCGTCGAAGAGATGCCTCTGATCTGGGCTTACTTGTTGTGTGGTAACCGAGGCTAACAGTGGGAGCCCAGTCTACCGACTCAACGTCACCCAAAGCGCTAGGGCACCCTAAAAAGTCCCAACAAAGTCCATATTAGACTACAGGTAACTTAAACATGATCAGTATTACTAATAGGGGTGTAACGGTATACGTACCCGTACCGAAATTATTCGGTACGGGCCCTTCGGTTCGGTACAGGTGTGTACCGAAGTGTACCGAACGAATATAACGTTAAACGTAAAAAATTGAGAACGTGAATAACTTTTTGGAAGTAATCTCAGGTGCTGCGTCGCAGCATTCAGAGTAATTTGCTCACATTGGATTCAACGCGTCATAGAGCGAGCAAGTCATTTCATTGGATGAGAGGCATACTATGAGAGCTGGTCAGAGGGATGCGTTCAAATGTAGTCAGTAATTTGAGGAACTGTCAAAAATTAATGGCGAACGCAGATAAAGTTGAGCTCGAAAATCCTCCAGCATCATTGAAGTCTCCGGTTTGGGAACATTTTGGTTTCACAGTTACGTACAAGGATGACGGACAAAGACAGGTGGACTGAACCAAAGCTGTTTTTCGGCATTGTTCAACTAAAATTGGTTACGCGGCTGGCAATACATCAAACTTGCACACTCTTGAAAAGGCATCACCCGAACGTGAATATCACCGGTACCAAAAGAAAAAAGACTGAAGTGCAAACCCAACTCCCACTAGCATTTAAGCCTCCACCACTCGCAGAAAGATCAGACCGAGCCAAAGCTATTACAAACACCAAATATCCTTATGTTGCCATGTTAGCAAAGCGCTACCTGGCTGTATCGGCTACCTCTGTCCCTAGCGAGAGGGTTTTCTCCACATCAGGAGACATTGTTAGTGCCAGCAGATCTGCCCTTTCGGCAAGCAATGTGGACAGGTTCATCTTTCTTTAAAAAAACATGAAAATACAATGACAAGCAAGTCCTAATGTCAAACTGGCTGCTTAGGTGCTAGTACAGTACAGTTCAAATACAGATTATTTCAGTTCATCGAAATGCTGCACCTTAATGTTCATTTTATTATATTTTGTATTTATTTGAGTGAATATTCACAGTTTAATAATAATTAAAAACCCAAAACTAATAGTTTGTTTTGTGAGTACTAGTACAGTAAAGTTCAAATACAGATTATTTCAGTTCATCGAAATGCTGCACCTTAATGTTTATTTTATTATATTTTGTATTTATTTGAGTGAATACATTATTCACAGTTTAATAATAATAATAAAAAAATATATATATATGTTTTGTTTTGTGAAAAAAAATTCTGCTGTACCGAAAACGTACCGAACCGAACCGTGACCAAAAAACCGAGATACGTACCGAACCGAAATGTTTGTGAACCGTTACACCCCTAATTACTAAGTAAATACGCATTTAACCACAACCCAATAATACCTAAACAAAGCCACAAAAACCAAGTTAGCTAATACCTCTGATGAAGTGGTCGCTGCAGACCCGTGCATTAGACGACTCTGCTCCTCCCGACCGCAGATGTAGGTTTGAAAGCCATTTTTTCCGGCGTTCTTCGGTTAGCTTCTTAAATTGCTCAGCTTTATGGACGACAACCTTCGGCACTCGGTAAAACCTCTTGTTTTTCTCTCGGCCGGATCGATTGGAACAACCGTAAACTACACAACACACCGGCATTTTCACAATGGTAACAGCAGCTAGATCCTCTGTAGAAAATTACTTCCTGACCTCCAATGGAATTTCGTGCCAAAGGAACGCAACGGTGTGACGTCACGTGAAACCAAGCTATTGGCAGCACACTGTCAAAAATACAGTAGGCTATATCACCGTCTAAAGTAAGCGACTGCTTTTATAAAACTGTCATCAAGCATGGCAGCCTAAAAGTTACTGGCACATTCATATTTAAATAGTCTTTTGTTAATTAATAATAATGTTCACAATAAAACAGTTCCTTGTAAGCTAGCTGGCGAGGTGGTTTCTATGGAACGTACATAGTGCTGCGTACCGGTACGCCGAACCGGTACTGGACTTGTAAAAAGTTTAGGTTCAAGTCCGGTTAAAACCGGAACGTCGGGAACCGGTACTTACGTATATTCTCCTTTTTGTTGTAAACCATCTAAAACCTTCCATAGATCGAGAAATTTGCGCTGAGAAAAGACGAAAAACATTGTTTTGGCTACATGGCGGCCATTACTGAACTCATGAAGTCTCGCAACTGCTCGCGAGATCTGTGTGACGTCAAGGGAAGCTGGTTTAGACATAGTGGACACTGACAGCGTGGGATTCTGGTTGCCATATTTGGTAGTGTAGTTTACTGACAGCGTGGGATACTGGTTGCCATATATGGTAGTGTAGCTAAACTAACTCCTTTGTATGTAAACACAATGCCGCGGTGCTTTAAATCCAGTAAGGTGTGGGACCATGTCACGAAACTGCCGCTAGATACTGCGAAGTGTAACCTGTGCGGGAACGTGATCAAGTGCGCTGGGGGAACATCGAACATAGCGAGGCACTTGAGGAGAAACCACAACATTGAAACTACTCCACATGCGGCCTCAGCCACATTGGCGGCGATGTTTGGCGACAAAAATAACAACGATCGAGGTAAGCGGAACAATACTTTTTGGAGGATTTTCAGTTAAGGAAATAGGCATTCTTAGCATTATAGCAAGATATACTAAATCAAATCAAATCAAGTTTTATTTATATAGCACATTTATAAAGATTTTTGGTCGAGCCAAAGTGCTGTACATAAAATAAAAATAGCCTACAGTAGAGACACTTTACAGCAAATACAACAGCACAGATTGTTCAGAATATCAGTATGAGAAAAATGACACGCTCTATCCTATTACTAGTAGTAGCATCGGTCCGACTAGCCGACTAGGGCGTTTATTCAGCGTCATCTTTTATTATTATTATTATATATATATATATATTATATATTAGTATTATCAACTGATTCATCAATACAACATTTTTTTTTAAATCATGGCAAGTTTGCAACGGTAGGTATTATGACATGTATGATAGTCTTATTTATGTTGCATGATCACCTGGCAAGATAACTAATAAACAAGTAATACTATATTAAAGATTGCTTATTTCCTTTATTATTTACACAGTAACCCTGAGAAAGTAGGACTATGCTTTGGTTCAATTGGTTAATCAATTTTATTTTGCTTTCAGCCCAGGCCCAACCTCCACGTGCCCCACAGCCCCCACCTGCGTCCCACACTGCCACTACTGGGACACCTGCCTTATCACTAGATTCATTACCGTCAAGTTCCACTTCCACTGTGGCCAGCACTACTGTAACGCCTTTCACCTTGGCAAAGCTTACCAAGATGCCTGCAGAGAAACAGCATAAGATAACCGGCAGATTGTGTCATTACATTGTAAAATCACTGCGCCCATTCTCCATCGTGGAAGACACATACTTTCGGGCATTCCTAAGCGAGCTGAACACATCCTACAAAGTCCCAAGTCGTGGAGAAGTATCGGAGAGGTTCCTCCCCAAGATGTACGAAGCAGCCCTTCTCAATCTCAAGACTGAGCTGCAAGAGGTGGAGTACGCGGCCTTGACTGGAGATGGTTGGACATCTAGGGTGGCTGACCATTACTTAACACTGACTGTGTCCACTACATGAAAGACTGGGAGATGAAAGTAAGAGTCCTACAAACGTTGAAGGCAGAAGTTTCCCAGACAGGGGACAACATCGCGGCCGAGATTATACAGTGTTTGGAAGACTTCAGCCTCAAGGGCAAAGTAGAGGTAATGACCGCTGACAATGCAAAAGCCATGGTCAATGCTACTACCAGTGCAGGGATTCCACTGTCTCTAGGATGTTTTGCCCACACTGTGAATCTTTCCACACAGAAGGCCATGAATGTGCCAACTGTAGGCACAATGCTAGCTGTCATCAGACCTCCCATCATATTTTTCCGCAACTCATATGTTGGCAAGATTGTGCTAAAGGAGAAACAGAAAGCGCTGGACAGAACATCTCACAACCTAATCCTGGATTGCAAAACCCGCTGGAACAGCTCTTACATGATGGTCGAGAGATTTGTGGAACAGTACCCAGCAATAGTGGCTGCATCATTCGATGAGAGACTTAAGAAGAAAGACAGCTTTAAGAAGCTGCAACGATGCACAGACAAGGACATTGAGAGGATGGAACACTTCCTGGAGGTGATGAAGCTCCCTTACATGATAACTGTGGCCATGTCATCTGAGAAACGCCCAACATCAGGACAGGTGCTCCCCATGATCGACAAACTGGAAGTCCATCTGGCTGAAAAAAAAGAAGATGAGAAGTTCATCAAAGACATCAAATCAGCAATCAGGAATGATCTATCTACCCGGTACCAGGATGATGCAAGGAGAGAATTCCTTCAAGAGGCTACCGCCCTAGACCCCAGGTTCAAGGGTTCCCCTATTGTGACTGTGGATGTGTGGGATCGGATAACAAACAAAATCGAAGTTTCCCAGGCCCAAGTACAGGTGAAGAAGGAAGCTGAGGAGGGGGGAGCTATGCCACAGTTGCCACTACAGGTCAAACAGGATGGTCTTCGTGACACTGACACACCTCCTCCCGCTAAAAAGGCAAAGCTAACAGCCATGGAGGAAATATTCCAAGATGAAGACGATGTCATGGTGACCCACGTTGAGCCACCCCTGCCTGTCCGACTACGTATTCAACATGAGATCCTGAAGTTCAAATGCATGCCAAAGCTTAAATCAACAGATGATATTATTGCTTTCTGGGGGGGGAAATCTGATGAGCTACCATTGCTCAGTACATTGGCAAGGAAGTACCTGATTGTTCCTGGTACAAGTGTACCAAGCGAGCGAGTCTTTAGCACTGCTGGTGATATAGTGTCTGCCGAAAGAGCAACACTTCACCCAGACAATGTCAATATGCTGTTGTTCTTGAACAAGAACACATAGACTTGTACTACTCTTGCATATTGAGTCTTGTATGTACATCACTATGTATGTAGTTGTGTTGTGTAGTTAGTAACACATGTAGAGTTGTAGAAAATACATGGTGTAGACACAAGTTGGAAGGGAGCACAATAAACCTGACGAGTTTAAATTTGAGTTGATTATGAGTTTATTTTCAATTGATAATTAGCTTACAATAAGTTCACTTTGGTCACACAACTTGACACAAGTCCGGACTTATAAGTCCGGACTTGAACCTGAACGTCTGGACTTGAGTCCGGACCTGAACCTGAATGTGAGTCCAGGTACACAGCACTAAACGTACAGTGGTAACTAGCTTAAAGCTGGTGTCTTACAGTCTATAACAGGTATGGGCAAACTAAGGCCCGCGGGCCATATACGGCCCGTTGGGCTTTTTAATCCGGCCCGCTGAATATTGGTACAAAATTGTCCAAATTATAGTAAAGACCGCATTCATTTTGCCTTTTTCCTGCAATACCCGGCATTTCAGTTGATCCCACTAGATGGCGAACTCTAGACACAATTGACCTTTGCTGGAGTCGGCAACCCAGCAAGATCTAAGAACCAAATACGTCACGCTTACATCGGAGGAGGTCGAGATTAACATGAGCAATAACAGTTCATGGCGAGTACAGCGAAATACAAGTTGTAACCTATGGTTGTAACAAGCAGTAGCGCTGAGCAAAGTGACTAGAACGCGACCATACACTTATTAAAAACACTTATATAAAGACAAGCAACACTAACCAGGCTTAGTGTGATTCTGTTTATTTTATCTTACTTTAATGACCATCCGTTCACTGTTATTGACCATTGTGAAGAGCAGGCAGACAGTTTCCTGTTGTTTTGTATTATTGCAGCTATCGGATGGAATCAATACATGGGCTACATGTGGCCATCACAAGTAAAATCATAACGAAAACTACGCCGGTAAAATATGCGTGTAGAAAACGGCTTATGCCACAATATGATAGCAACAAGTAGTCAAGATAGTCTGATTAGCTTTGATTGCTATGCTAACATCACCTGTAGAATGCCAGAGAAACTTTCATAACAGCGTCAATTCAGACTGAAATACATTCACTGATGGGGATGGGGGATATTTATCAGCTGCTTGTGTGACAGTCAGACAGTGAATACTTTACAGCGGTCGCTGCCACGAGTTAACAGTAGAATAAACTCTGGTGGACGAGCAGCGCTCGGTAAATGCTGCTGAAACACATTAATAAACAATGCACCACGGCACTCTGGAGAAAAGTATAAGGTTGGAGAAGTCGTTCTTTAATTGAATCTGGCTTCGTATGATTAAACTACCCAACGCAGTCCTCCATTGGTGTTGTTGTGAGCGGTGTTGTGGAGAAAATCAGCGACGTAAAACGTTGTGTGGGTCATAAGAAGGCACGTAAATGGTTACGTCACCTTTGAACCTGCATCTGTAACAATGAGTGGACCAAAGAAAAGAAAAGTCGACATTGAGTGCAGAGTGTTTAATGAGGAGTGGACAGCTAAATATTTTTTCACCGATCTGCTACTGGCCCGGCCCATCTGACACATTTTAAAACTCATAGTGGCCCCCGAGCAAAAAAGTTAGCCCACCCCTGGTCTATAACCACACATTCATCCATTCCTTACACCATTCTACAAACCATTTCAACGCCATTATGTTTACTTCAAGATTCAAGGCTTTTATCGTCATTTGTATATAGCTACAGTGTAGATATATCAATGAAAATCCTAGGTCACAGGCTCCTCCAACAGTGCA